GTCTTGCTAAACTTTGCCTAGTCTGACTTCGAACACATGACCTTCCTGCTTTGGTCTCCAGAGACACTGGAATTACAGGTGTGTGCTAGTATGGATGGCTGAGAATTTACCATTCATGAGATACCAAAGTGGCTGGTCTAAACCTAACACCTATCTTCTTCAATCATCTCCTTTTGTTTAAAAAGCAGAAACTGGGGTGCAGAGAAGGGAAACAACTTCAGTCCACAATTTGAGATTGTGTCGATTCTTCATGTATCATCTCTGGTCCTCTCACATAGTTAATTTTCTTATAATTAATTTAAAAACATTTCATATAATAGTCATTGCATTAAACAATGAACATGGTGCACCTGTAAAGTAATACACTGACATTTATATTGTCAGGGCTTCCAAGGGTCTGTCTGTTCAGAGGCTGAAAGCAAAAACTTTATCTGGTTTACATGCTGCTGAAAACAAAAGGCCGGAGAGAGAGAGCAGCATTGTGGAAGAAAAACAAGTGGCCATATTCAACAGCATAGCTTCCTTCCCTGACAACAGACCACATATGAAGCTGGTAAAAATTAATGGTCAGTGAAAGTCAAAAGAAAAGCCTATAATCATGAGAAAAATGTAAAGAGCGTAGGTCCACATGATTTCCATTTTTCTTTTCCTTTCAGAAGCTGTAAAACATTAAGTCACATATTTTGTCTGTTCCTATACACACTGCTGGGCTCCAAGCTGCCATATCACTTCCATCCTCAGATTAAAAGTCCTATCTGGTGAGACCCCCTCTATGCTGCTCCCTTCCTTTCTAGAGTCCAGATGTAACTATTTCAAACACAGTGATAATCAAAGAAAAAAAAAAAAGAGCCACTCACTCACCCTGTCCAGAACTCTAAGCATGAAAAGCAGTGAAACTGAAAGCAGTGTTAAAAGTGTCCTGCCTTTCCTCCTAGGAAATACGTACTAAAAGTGTCTAAAAAGGAAACTCAAGTCTTCCAAATTTGCTTGTTTTCTTGCCTGGGTAGAAACAGGAAACTTTTCTTTTGACTAAACAAAGTTATCAGAAGGAAAACATGAGCATTTGGAAGCTAACACAGATCTCTATGTTCTGTAATCCACTTAGTTTTTAGCACTGTTTCTTAAACCAATTAGACCTGTATTTGGCTGGAAGCCACCACTACCCTCACCTGGCAGAAAAGGGCTCACTCCACTGATGCCTGCTCAGTCAGACTTGTGAATTTTCAAAGCTTGAGTGGAGAGAGGCTGACTGAGAACTGTCAAAGGGGAATTCCTATCACTGCTGGAAAATTTAGTAAGAAATCTCTTTTCTCCAGTCTGTCCTGATCTGCCCATTTGTGAATTATGAGTACTGTTTATCTGTGAGATTCATGAATTGCTTGGATTAACCTAGCACAAAGAAATGCTTTACCAAAAGTTTTGAAAAATTATAGATGTATGTTTAAATACATGCATTAAATAAAGGATCATTCAGCTTCATGAATTTCACAGTGCAAAGTAACCACAATTATGTATTACCTGGCATCTTTGTGAATTTTTTCCTGTTCTTTTATGCCACTTAATATAGTACTGATTCCATTGATAGTCCTAATTATTCAAAGAAACAAACAAACACAAAAGACAACACAACGGAAGAAAACTCACTTAGGTTGACTGGTTGCCTTGTGAACAATATTAAAAGCTGATTATGTCAGCCCACTGAATTTTAAGGTTTTTGATATTCAGCAAAAGATAACAGACAGACATGTGCTATTGCATACCTTTTTTGCTCATATTGATATCATAATACAATAATATTATCAAGCACTTAACTTGCTTTCTTTTTAACTCCTATCACTGTTGGAAAATCTGTTAAGAAATCTGTTTTTCCTGGTCTGTCCTGATCTGCCCATTTGTGAATTATGTGCTCTATTTATCCACAAGATTCATAATTTTTTTCACTTAATGCAAAAGGGAACTTTGTACATAAATTTTTGAAAAATTACAGGTGTATGTTTAAATGCATACATCAAATAATGGAGAAGTTTTATAAAATGGAAAAGAATCATCCAGCTTCATTAATTTCACAATACAAAGTAATGACAATTATGCATTTAGTTGGCATCTTTGTGAATTTTTTTTCTGTTCTTTTATCCATTTAATACATATTGACTTTATTGACAGTCCTAATCATTGGACTCCTAAAGTCTTATCTTTCCCTGAAGTTGAATTGGCCTCCTGTCTTCATTTTCCCCAACACTTTGCCTTTGAGGGACTTTGTAGAGTTTTGATCCCTGCCTTATAAATCTTTTGCACTATCCCTGTGTGGTGATCTGAACATCTATGCAAATAGCCTGGGCTAGTTTACTAGAGGAGCAGAGCCATCCTATCGGGCTAGCTGTCCCAACCACGGTCATCACAGTCCAGCCTCCAGATGTATCTCCTCCAAACATGAGAGATCTTAGCCTTTTGTGTAGACTTGCCTACCCTATATGCAGGAGATCTCCAGAACCTGGACGGTTCCAGCAGATAGGAGAACCACCTGGCTAGCTGGGCACCTGTGGCTCTTGCCAATAATCCTAGCTACTTTAGAGGCAGAGAATGGTAGGATGTCACTGGGAGGACTGCCTGGGTAGAGAGGTCAGCACACCCATCTCAACCAATAACTGAGCATGGTGGCACATGACTGTCTTCCTGGGCTATGTGGGAGGCTGAAATTCAGAGGATTGTGGTTGTACATCAGACCGTCCTCCCTCCCCGCCACCAAAAAAAAAAAAAAAAGCCTGACCATGGTGAGTCCTCTTGTCATCCCAGATATAGAGGTAAGCATGAAATAGGATTACTCTGCAGCCGGGCCTGGGCAAAAAGCAGAGCCTGTCTCTAAAATTAGCAGAGCAAACCATCTGGAGACATGGCTCAAGCTGTAGAGTGCCTTCCTAGCAATCCTAACGAAGCCCTGAGTTCAAACCCCAGTGCCAACAAAACAAACAAACACCCACCAGGTTAACTGGCTGCCCTGTGAACAATATTAACTGTAAAATCACTGGATTTTAAGACTTTTTGATATTCAGCAATAGATAACTGACAGACCATATTTTAACATAGCTTTTTCCTTATACTACTATCATTATACAATCATTAACAATCACTTAACTTGCTTTTTTTGGTCCAGTAGAACACCTTTTAAATGCACATTAATTTCCAAATGCACATTTCATTTTCTGTTTTTTAAAATAAAGTAACTTATTGTTATCTTTCATTTATATTATTTTTGTACTGGGGTTACATTGTGATATTTACCAAAGTCCTTATTTTCACTCTTTTTATTATTAGATTATTGTTGTAGTGGGGCACATTGTGGCATTTACAAAAGTTCTTACAATATATCATAGTTGAATTCACTCCTGCATTCTTCTCCTATCCTCCTTCCCCCCCATTCCAGGAATAGTTTCAATGTCTCATTTTTCCATTTCCATACATGAGTACATGATATTTCCACTATATTCACCCTCCTTCCCCACTTCCTTCTATTTTTAAACCTCATATTGAGTGACAAATATTGGGAAAAGTCAACAGATTAGGGATTATCTGATTTGTGGAAGGCTGTATTATCTTAAAAGTGTTGTTAGAGTATAAGCTAAAGATAATTTATCAAATTAAGGCAATTAAGCCTGTAGTATGGAAAACCATAAAGTAAAAACTGTTTCTTCTAGTTCACCTCTGTGCCATAACCTAGACATAATCTTCCTAAATTTTTTCTAATTTTATTTTCTAGAGGTAATATTAATCATTCTGAGTAATGTCTATTTTGACTCAATATTTCCTGATTTATAAAATTCAAACAATGACATTGACTGTTCCCTATGAAAAACAAAATCTAGGGCATTTAAATTGCCTCATCTCCACCTACTGGTGATATCATGATTCCCTATTCTTTTCTTGATAATTTTGCAACATCTAATAACATATTTAACCCTCATTTTTTCTTCCATCAATGTTGGTGTGAAGCTCAATTCTCATTTACCTAAATTTATGATAGTTGTACCATGCAATTTTCTCCATTTCTTCTGACCTCTGATTGTACCATCATTTTGGTTTTCATTTTTTATTTGTAGAAACATACAATTTACCATCTTATACATTTACTGTGGACAGTCCAGTGGCATTAAGAATGTTGACAATATTGTGCTATGATAACCACCATCTATCTGCAGACTTATTTTCATATTGTAATACTGAAAGTGTATACTATTAAATAACTCCCTGCTATAATTCGAATATTGGTTGTGGCCCAGGAAGCTTCCTGGGCTGGAAGATTGATCCCCAGGGCGGTAGTGTTGAGGTGGTAGAATGTTTATGATGTGGGGTCCACTTTAAAGAAATTAAGCAAATAGGAAAGCATCCTTGGAAAGTTTGATGTTGGTCTCACTCCAAGAATGTGTTGTTATAAAGGAACACCACATCAGGTACTTGTTACCTTGTGCATGCAGCTGGTTCCCTTTCAGTTTGTCTTCCCCATTTTGAAATATCCAAAGGCCCTTCTAGGATAGTGTTTCGTCCCTCAAGTTACCAGAATCTTGAACTAAATGAGCCTTTTTGCTTTATAAAACATCCTGTCTCAGGTATTCGGTCACAGCTGAAGAAAAAATGACACATTACCCATTTCCTCCTCTCCCAATACCCTGACATCTCTATTCTACTACCTATCTGTCTTTATGAATTTGACTATAGTGGGTATCACCTATGGCTGAAGTCATACTGTATATGTCTCTGTATGGCTGACTTGTTTCACTAGCATAATGTCTGCAAGTTTCATCCATATTGTAATGTATGGCAAAATTTATTTCCCTTTTAAGACTGAATATCACATATGTAAATATTACACTCTTTAAGTAAAGAGTTGATAGCTAGTTCAGAAGTTGATAATGCTTGGATTACTTCCACATTTTTGGTATTGTCAATGAAACCTCCATGAGCATGAGTGAACAAATATCTCTTTGAGACACTGCTGTCTCTTGTGAGTATTCACTCAGAAGTGGAAATTATGGGTGAATTTAATTTTTTCAAGAACTATTTTTTTCAGTATTTGTTAAGCTCCTATCCACAGTATATCAGGGCTCTAGTTACATCACAATCTTGCAGCTTCCTGTTTGTTTGTTTGTTTGTTTTTGTAGTAGTCCTAATGTGTGGGGAGTGAGATCTGGTTGTAGTTTTAGGCAGCATCTCCTTTCAGCCCTTGCTGATGGTGAGTCTCAGACAGTTCTTTCCTCAGGGAGTTCAGATATTGCATGGCCCAAAAAATCCACGTAGCTTGTCCCATTTCATGTCCATTCTCTCACCATGTTAATTGCAGTTCTGTTCTCTGTTATAGAACCCAAAAAAACACAGTTTATCTGTTTTAGTTTTATTGATATACAAAAGGTAAATTTAGGACCAGGATGTGTCTCTGGTGTAGAAACTTGCCAAGCAAGAGCAAGGTCTTGAGTTCAAGTCCCAGTACTTCATAAAAATTGATGATAATCCAGGCCTCAGAGGGTTAATGCATGTTCTGTATTGGCAAATGCACTTCTTGAAGTTGAAATGGAAAGCTGAGCTTCCTGTGGTTTCTGTAGAAGAGAGGAAGAGTGACAGGTGAAGGTGGTTGCCCACGCAGACCTCATCTTTTCCCTCACTACACTCTTCTGTTCTCTCTCATATGCTTCCCTCTTCCCTTGATTTCCACTGGAAGCACTGCAGCCTCACAGTCAGTAGCACTGGAAATGAACTTGGTAAAACCTAAGTTCAATTATATCACTTTGTTAAAGAGCACTTGAAGAGTTTGGTTTCTCACTCAGAATAAAAGCTATCCAATATTTCGTATATGGTTATGAAAGCCCTTGTTATCAGACAATTCTTTAATTTTCCAAGTGAAACTCTTATTTTTCCCATTCTCATTATACTCAAGTCATACTGTATCTTTCCAGTTCTTTAAGAATATTTATTACATTTCTCCCAAAGGAAATTTTCCCACCTCTGTCCTCAGGTTGGACAGTTTTCCTGCCTAACAGCCATGATATTCACTCTCACACTATCAGTTCCTTGTTTTGATTTTATTCTTTCAAAGAACTCTTTCCTGAATAATATTTCTATACCAGCACAATAGCCACTAACCCACAGTGGCTTTCTTTATTTTTGTACTTAACTGTTATTACTCTCTGACCTGTGACAATTTAAATGGTCATATATTTACACTCTGTGTATTCTTATTAGAATATAAGCTTTCTGAAGGAAAAGATTCCATTGACTTTGTTCACGAGTGTGTTCCTTGCATTTAGAACAGAATGTATCACATTGTGATTATTGATTAATATCAGTTATTAATCAATGGGTCAATGTGGTTCTATTGAGTAAGTTCGGCACTGCAACCTGCTCCACTGAAATATGCATGTAATTTTAAACCTGGAGTGTCACAAGGCAGGGATCAAACATGATGTGGGTAAATATTTGCAGTGATTAATTGCTACCATGGATTTTTAATTGTTTATTACTTTTGTCTCGGTTTTTCTTCTGTCCTTGATTGGTTGATTGATTGATTATGGAGAAAGGGATCAAAATGCATGAAAGCAGAATTAAAACTAGCAATAATCATCAAACTACATCCACAAGAAACTGTAATATGTTCATCCAAGCAGTTAGATGCCATTGGTCATGGTTCATCTCAGCTTACAGAGCATTTATTTCATCTGCTGACCACAACTCTTGGTACTTACTATTTTCAATTGCCAGGAAAGAGGTAGAAATATCTTGACAGTGTTGTTCGTTCAATGGTGGGCATCTGGGATTCAATACTTGGTTTTTCAAATGATTGTTGTACCTAAAACCAAAACTAAGCTTCAGCTGAGATAAGACTTCAGAAAGATTTTGCACCATATGTCAGCAAATTTCAAGAGTTAAGGGCATTCCTAGAAAAGATTGGACCTCATTTCAAGATATTCTAACTTTGAGATACTTCTATCTTTCACCTTAGACTTGACACCCTTGTAAGACTGTGCTCATTACTTAAAATAAACATCTTAATGCCAAATCCAGAATTTTTCACCTACATTTCCTCTCCATTTCACTTTTGAGCTACAAACCTGGCAACCTATCATCCTGAGATCTCTACATCAGAATTAGATTTGGAGGATTCCTTTAGTTAACCCGACCCAGGAGACTCAAATCCCAAAATCTTGTTATTAAGTTATTTATTTATTTTTTTTATATTTCTTTTTTATTATTGTTGTACTGGGGGTACATTATAACATTTACAAAACTTCTTACAATATATTGTAGTGGAATTCACCCCCTCCATCCTTCTCCTTTACCCTCCCTCCCCCCATTCTTTGAATAATTTTAACAGGTCTCATTTTTCCATTTAATCTATGTGTACAGTATATTCCCACCATATTCACCCTTTGACTCCCTTTTCTTATCTATCCCCCCTCCCACTGATACCCACTCCCCATACAGGATGTGTTTTACTTTCCTGTTTTCTGTATTTGTTAAAAAAAAAGGCATGTTTTTGGTTTAAGATAGCTATACAGGGTGTTTTATTATGACATTTCCACATACATATAGAGCCAAGAAATTAGTTCTTCCCCTCTATTTTTCTCCTTTCTATCTTAGTCTCCTTCTTATGTTGATTTAAACGGGTTTAAAAAATTCTGTATTCATCATTGTTTAGGAAGTACATAACTCTTGAACACTGAGCAACTTTTGCATCCCTTGTATTCTTTTTTTCTGAATTTAACAGTGAGATCCTACTTACCCTAAACACAATTTTTCTAGACTTATCTAGGAATATCATTTTCAGTATCATGGCTAATTCCTATTCTAACAACTGAACTTAACTTCTTAGGTCCCCATTCTCAGAAATCCTAAATCACATACCAACCCATGCAAGCTTTATGTCTCCTTTCTCTTGAGTGTCACTGACTTCTACAATTTTGAATTGAATGTAAAACTACCATACATTTTGTATTCTTAAACCAGTCCATTTCTCTGTATAAAAAGGAAGTTGGGAGCATCTTTTCATTAACTTTTAGGTCTATTTGTTCAGTAAGTGTTAATTTAAAGTCTGCTATGTGCCACACATAGTGCAATGTGGAATAAATCCTTGCCTTTCTGGAGAGTGTGTTATTGAGCAAATACAAGTGAAAAGACAAATATGTAAATAAAATGTATGTTGGGTGGATAGTGTTAAGAGCTGAGAAGGAAAATGAAAATTAAGGACAAATAAAGACTGAACTAAGTTGAGGAAGCATTATTAAGTCTTCCTTTCTGGATCATTCCATCAGAGTACTTTTATTCTCTTCCATGTCTGGGTCTTTCTCTTGGTGGATAATCTCAATCTGTAGCTATGTGTTTGTTTGAGGCCTTTTTGCTATCCAAATGTGAGGTCTTAGTAGACTTACGATTAACCACTTGTTGCATTTACTCCTGCATCACAAGGGAAAATCACTCACTTCTTATTAGATTACCCAATAAATCTTTATTTAATATATTAAGTAATTAATTTTAAATACTTGCTATTCTCTGAATTTGGGAATTCACATCATTATAGAATATAACCTGTCAATTTATATCATTCTGTTTTACTTTGATCTCCTATGCTGGCATATTGGCATTCTTCTCTAAACCAGATTTTAAACACCTGAATAAAAATCAGATACTACTCTGTTTTTGTCAAAGGAAGTCATTGTCATGTGAAAGGTGAATAATGATATATTCTGAACAACTGAATTAATGATTTGATATGGAAAAGGAAGCTTACCTTCACAAATATTTCCAGTATGTGACAGGACCGGGAATATTTTTGGAAGCATGTAACGAGTTGAGTGACGAAGGGAGAACCTTTCGTGGGATCTCTATAGGAAACATTATCTATGAAGACAAAAAATAATAAGTCTTGGTCTAAGGACTTTCGCTAACTTCTTCATTATATACTTTATAGATTTTTTTAAAGCACAGCTGAGGAAACGCTTTAGAGGTTTAAGGTAAGCACTGATGAGCCTGCATTATCTCCTTTACTACAGAAACAACATAAAGCTGGCAAAGGTGGAAATGGAAGGAAAGTTTGTCAGAACTGCGAGAGATTGCATAGTGATGGTATTGTGATTCATGCAGCTATCTGCAGTGTACATTCATTTCCTAGGCTATGAAGAGAGGTGGGTAGACGTCTAGAATTATTGCATTTCACAAAAGGAGAGCAAAGACGTTCAGAAGAATGGCAGAACATCCCCAATTCACAGAGAGAGCACATGACAATACATGGCCACCTGGCTCCAAGTTTGTTTACAGATAAATTCATGCTGTTTTCCACAATGTAACAAAGTAGGGAAGATGAATTAGTGCCAGAAATTTTAGTGTTCAGTATAATACTGTATAATAGGCTTAAGATGTGGTAAGTGGGTTGATTATATATTAACTGATTGTAAAGTGCAACACTTATAATAAAAGCAAAGGTTTTAAAAGCATGTGTATGGGAATCTCTACAGCTGACCAGAGATATGATTTATTTATATACATAGGCAACAATCAAGTTTTCTGTCAGAACATTGCTACATGGAACTTACCTTGAATTTCTAGAATAACTGAAAGGTGGTCTTATACCCACCAATCCGGAATTGAAAGATACATACGTGGAGTTGTAGAGTACAAAGCAATGAAATCCTTCTCCACATGGCTCAGGCGAACAGCATCAGCCTCCAGATTCTTCTCTGACTGTGAAGAGCTGTCTGTCAGGGTGGCTGGAGAGTCTCTGACCCACACTTCCCCAGGGTTTCCTGTGAAGACATCAACTTCCTAGGTTGCTCTGCTCTCTCAGTAGGACTATCACCATTGCCCCATCATTCTTTTTGAATGTTCATTCTAATTTGTTGCACGCATACACACAAACACACACTACATGTACATACACACAATTTTGATTTCTTTCTAGTGTTATCAAACAATGTGCTAATTAATGAATAAGTCAAAATAGTGACAGTATTGTAAAACTGGAAGAAATACCATTTCTCTAGCTTCCCTTGCAGTTGATTTCTAGCTTAATTCCTTTGCTATGTGATTAAGATGCAAGTCATCTTTGCACTGTTTTTGAATTTGTTAAGGATAGTATTAGGGCCTACTATATGGTTTAATTTGGAAAATGTTGCATGTGTCAATATAAAGAACATATATTCTGTAGCTGTGGGATAGAATATTCTGTAGAGGTCTTCTACGTCCATTTGATTGGTAGTGTTACTTAACTCAAATATTTCCTTGTTGACTTTTTGCCTGGGTGATTTACCTACCCATGTTTATTGGGTTGTGGAAGGAATCACTTTATTGTAGTTCTAAGGTTTGAACTCAGTGCTTGGTACTTGCTAGGCAAGTGGTTTACCAGTTAACCAAGGCTTCCACCCTTTTGGAGATAGGGTCTTGTTTGTTGTCCAGGCTGTCATAGACCATAAATCCTCCTATTTCACACTAACAGGCGAATACCACCCTGTCCACCTTCCTTCTGTTGAGATGTGATCTTGCGAACTTCTTGCCTTGGCTGACTTCAGATGCACTCTTCCTAATCTCAGTCTCTCATGTAACTAAATTGCAGGTGTGAGCCACCAAGTCCAGTGACCTCACAAATACAATTCTTATCAAGACACATAATGCAAAATCACTTGCAAGTGAAGCTATTTACAAAAGGATTCTTTTCTATCATTTGGATATTTGTTTTACTAATTTATTGATTCTGGAAGTTTTCATCACTTATCCTGCATTGCAATTCTATAAAAATTCCTCAGCTAACCAGGTTAAATTTTTATGATATGACCTTAGCTAGAATTTCCTAATAATTAAATTTACTTTATTGTATTCTAAGATTATTGTTCCTAGATATTAAACATATATCACATTCCTCTTAAACTCCTTTGCAACTATTAGATTATCTATCTCAGAACTCACCACCTCTGCATGCCTGCACAATGATGACCTTGGGTTTGTCTCTTAAACCACGGCATTTGTGATTGTTGAATATTTGATAGATTTTGTCATAAACTAGCACATCTGGTGTCTTGTCACTATGCGTGGTTCCACAGATTCCATGCAGGGTACCGTGCGACATAAGCACTAAGAATGTGCTGTCTGAGGACCTGTGCTCGGGCTGGGCAGCAAATTTCTTCAGCACTGATTCCATATCCTAGAAAAGGACAATGTCTTCTTCAGTAGAAAAAGCATTAAAAATTAACCAGAATTGCTAAATTCAGTATGAACAATAAAAATCTTATATAAGGTTCTGATAATAGTATTCACTCAGTAATGGTGGTTGTTTTATTTATTCTTCAGAATGGATCGGTGGATTCCCAGTTTCTGTTCCTGTTGACATACTATAAACTGCTTCTTAATACATATTTATTTATGTTATTCATATTATTTTTCTTTTCCATCTCCTATTTGTCTTTTCTCATCTAATAATAGCCTTGTGTTACGAAATCATCACAACACCTTTCCTCTAAAGCCCTTGCCATGTGCTTTGTGTAAAATCAAACTTCTGACCTGATTATATTCCACCTTCCTGCAGTGTCCCCCTGTCCTACAAACTCTGTTCTAGATGCTCTTCTCTCTGTGTTTTCCCATACCTATTTTGGTTCCATTTGTAGCTCCCTCTATTTGGTAGATGCTTCCCTCACATCTTCCCAGATCCATCTCATTTGATAATCACATCTCACTTCTATGCTATCTCCCCACAGAAGGTTTACTGGATCACTCCATCAACATGGGTGTCCAGTCTCTTCTCTCTCATGCTTCCACTTTTCCTTTTTTGTTCATAATCCTTGAGTTTCTTTTCATTTATGTAGACACATACACAAAACAAAATCCTAAAACTCCATTTTTCTCATACTTTTATTTTCTCTTTCCTCTCTAAACTAGACTGATGCAACCCAGATGTTTCTTGTCTCATTTATAGACCTCTTCCCAGTACCACGGAAAGAGTCTGGCACCAATCAGAACTAAGATTTATTTTACATGTTCACTCATACTCAATTCTCACTACTGTAGAAATTTCTAGGGATGAATCATATTCACTTCACTTTGGAGCTAAGAATTGTATGGGTACTCATGTCATTCACATTTTCTATAGTCACATGGTATGAGGATATATGGACCACAAAAGGGATAAATTTCAAATATCTACTTTCATCACTTTGATAACACACAAATGTAGCCTGAGCTTCTGAAGACTTTCATCCAACATTATAAAACCAATGTGTAGTAGAGGATATGTGTTGGTTATATTATGAGATTAGGGTAGAGGTAGGGGTTCTTACGCTGGCTGTAAGGTTCTTTTCTACAACCACAGTGTAGCCCAGGTCTTCAAGCAACCCCTTCATTCCTGTGATGTCAAAGTCAGCCCCTTCTCTCAGAGTAAGATGGTCAAACTCTATATTGCATATGATGAGAGCCTGGCGAGTACGATCATTTCTTTCCTTTATTGGATAGATCTGCAGAAAATGGACATGAAGTAAATTTGATTCACTTGAGTGCTTTAAAACTCCTGTATACCTGGACTGGGGATGGAGCTCAAGTTGTAAAGCACTGTGTTCAATCCCCAATGCTCAAAAAAAACAAAGAAAGAAAATTCCATAGACCCATAGTGTTGCTTTATTTAGGTCTAATACAGCTTCTCTCTCCCCTAAATTCCACCAGAAGACATTGCCTTCTTCTGTCTCAAGAATGCAGAGCCAAAACCAGGACATATCTGGAATGGGTATTCAAGAACATTGAGGAAATTACAGTAATTCCTACCCATCACCTTCTCCAGCCTGTCTTCATCTAATTAAATCTTTCTTGGAATTGAAGGTTCAGATCTAATAACCTATAAACCAATAGATATTTGTCTCTGGCTCCAGTAAAAATGAGTAAAAGAAAAATCTTTTCTGTCTGGTAGCATTATTTTGGTACAATTTTAACACGCCCAAATATAATGCTTTTGAAATTTAATGATACTTCAAAAATATTCTTCATGTCTAATCTTTTCAGCTACGATACAGGTAATATACTCAGCCATGTGATCTTATAAATATTTTGATTCTATGACTATAACTAAAGTATTCATAAATCCTTAATGGAATAAATAAATGATTAATATGAACAATGTGTATTTTGTCATGGAGTTAAAAGAGAATAGGAATCCACTTAGGGCCACATGATTCCTTCCTTCAAAGCATCTATGGGAAAGATTTCTAGGTCCCCAACCCCTGAATTTAATGATTTGAGAAACTGAGTCTTTAGAGATAGTCATTGTTTCTCTCTCTGTCCATGCACCGAGCTCAGTTACCTCTCCAGCCCTTTCTGTGCAGCATCTCAGGAATTCCTCAGGGGAACAAAGCTTGAGGGTATCAGTAGATTCTTCCCACTCAGCTGGTCTAGTCTCGGGTTCCAAATGAACTGTGGGATACATTATGCAAGTTAAATTTTAATTTCTAGCTCTGTGACCCAATTTACAACTTGAGAAGACAGAGAGGAGGAAATCCTGGTACAAAGGAATTTTAATATCTACAGATTTTAGTGGTTCTAATCTCTATATAAGGAGATGAGTTACGATAGGGAAAGAAGAGGGAAGTCCTTCGTAGAGAAAACAGAATCATCCAAAAATGAAATAATGGATTCTGATAAATTTGCAGAGAACACCTCTATAATTGGAGATCCAATTGGTTCTTTCCATATTCAACAGATACATTTAAAATTTTCCAATGGTTTACTCATTGCTCATCAGATAGACACCATTGTCTTTAAGTAAAATTATATCTAGTAAGTATTTATCAGGGTATTTGCTATGCATTAAAAATTATGGTACATGATGTGAAGTTTAAAAATTTTAATATCTACTTTAAAAAGTAAAAGTAAGCAAGGAAATTAATTTAAATAATATGTTAATATATTCAAGATATTATCAATATAATATGTATTGTTAGGTCATTTTCAAGTGCTTCTGGTGATTAGTGTCTGCCATATTGGATGGTAATAACGTAATTTTGGAGGAGAATCCCCTATACCTAACTCACACAATTTACATAGATGCATATACCAAACCCTTTATCATTCAGAAATTAAATTTTCAGCATCTTCAGCATGAATTTTTAACCTGTCTAGAGGAAGCAGGCTATGGTTTTGTCATTTTAAGTAGTAAAGCCAGCTATTCAAATCCTCTTTATTTGCAATGATATGTATTCCAGGTCAAAAAAACATGTTTTTAGTTTCTTGGATTTTGGGTGTTTTTCATTTATTTATTTTTTTGGTGAAAGATTTTGACATGCTCTGTCGTTCCTTCAGAATTCTAAACAATCAGAGTTTGAATCCGTTTTAACTGTGAGGAAATCATTCACCCCCTTTTGGAGAAGTTTGTTTCTGTGTCATCCTGGTCTTCCCATTAGAGAAATAAAATTCTCTCTGACCTAATTTGACTTCCTTTGACAGAGATTGTGCAAAGACCTGGGAAATTCCAGAGCCCTCCCTTGAAAGAGAAAGAAAGAAAGCTTCATAAACAGAAATTGGAACTTTATGAAGATCTAATATTACAAAGATTCCACCCATGAGACATAAGTCAACCAAGACATTCTCTGGTTTTATTTTATTTAAATGAGACAAGTAATATTATTCTGTATAATGTTTATTTTTTATATTAATAATATTTTTTGTTTTATTCAATGTTTTCCATTGGTTTAAAAAATGTACTTCTAAAAATATGATAGCAACCTATGCTTTGGAGACGCAGAATGTCATTTTGACATTTTTTGTACAGATTAAGCAATGACATACGTTCTCCCTTTTCACTGAAGAAAATGTTGCCAACATGATGAATTCTGCTATACTCTGATAATCCCTGGCCAGAAGATATTTTTTTTCAACCAAAATTTCCCCAGGTTCCAGTTAAGTCACAGGTTTGGAGACCTTTCTAACTCAGCAGTTATCTTCTGATAACTGTAATGAATATCTCTCTCTCTCTCTCTCCCTCTCTCGCTCTCTCTTCATCCTTCTCTAGGTAGACAGACAGATAGATAGATAGATGATAGATAGATAGATATTGAAACTATTCCAGGAATGGGCGGACAGGGGAATGAAGGAGAATGATGAAGGGGTGAATTCAAATATGATATATTTGATATGTTGCAAAAAATTTAATAAATTCCACAATGTACCCCCACCCAGCACAACAATAAAAAGTAAAGCAGTGAGAGAAATGCCCTCAAAAATAAAAAATTAAAATAAAATATTGCAAAGCATACTTAACATTAAGTCAGACTATATATATTCTGATAAGCATAATCAGCAATATTTTGAAAATACATTTTATATGCAAATGCTTCGGGTAATTTTGACATTTAAGCAATTATGAGTATCGACAAATAAACAGAAATGTCAAGGATCTGATTATAGAAATTTAGATAGAATGGAATGTGTAATTCTTTAAAAGATCTGCTAATTATTCCATAATTTAGACTAAATGTAACCTAGTTTAACCCAAGTCTTGATGTAAATCAACAGGACATTTTTATAATTTTAAAACCATAATTTATTTGAAAAAGGGAATTAATGAGTCAATGAGGGCAAGAAAAATACTGAATATCTGTTTTCATTTTATTGTATCAGTGTGAATTTGTTTTGACACTGACTAGAAGAGAAGCATTAAATAAAAAGTGGTTTGCTCGGTAAAAAAATAGATAGATAGATGATCAATCAATAGATGGATAGATACAGTCTTACAGACTTTTTAGGTAAAACTGAGATTAGACAAAATTTCTGGTGTTGATGAAGTGGTTCAAGTGGCAAAGTGCCTTCCTAGCAAGCATGAGGCCCTGAGTTCAAATCCTAGTGCTAAAAAAAAAAATCTTTCTTACATTCTATTGTAAAATTAACATGAAAACAAATCATTTTGTTACCAAACAGAAAATATTATAGTACACTCTGCTACTCAAAAGAAGTTCCAATTAGCCAGTCAGCAGATAGAAGTAAGGGAGATATTAGTTTAAACAGAAATTTTAGTTTTTGACTCTTAAATGTTTAGGAATCCATTTAAATTCGTACAAAGATGAGGGGACTCAGGATAAGACAAAGCCATCTCCCTTGACAGGTAGGAGGAGTTCAGGGGATTATCTCTCTGATAAATAACAATGTTTGGAGAGAGAGGGGAAGGGGAGAATGCATTTATACGTTTATGAAATGAAGCAAGCAAATAAATCCTTGGCTTCTTCCTATCCTTCTAGTCTCAGCACTGAGCTGAGAACCCTTAGCATTTATCTCTATGTCAAATGGCTGGCCAGGGTCTTCACCTATTCTAATATCCCAGCTCACCTAGCGCCTTGGTCTGCTGGACTGGTGTTCTCAACATGTCACTCTGAAGACTCCAGTGCAAACAGTCCAAGGAGCCACCAGACTCCTCACAAAAGTGTCTACTTGTGCCTCCTTCCTACTAAGTGTCTGCTGATCAGGTAAGTTATTGAGTTTAATACTCGTGATTCTTTCTATTATTAACATCATTTGAAATCTCCTTTTACTTCAATTTAGATTTCCAATTGCTGAATTACTTCTGATTCTTTATTTCAAGAATCAGAATTCCTTATTTCTGATTTTTTATTTCAAGAATCTTTTCAAGCTGTCTCAAGTTAATCTGCTTATGGACCAGTTTAAATATTAATAACAATCCAGCTCAGGCTACAATTGTGACATCTTTCCTACTAACATGTACTTCCTAATTTGGAGATATTCCTTCTCCACAGAGAATGGCTTACTAGAAAAGGCTCATCTGATATAATGAAGTCTTAAGGATTTATGTTGGATTATGTTTGTGTTGATTATTAGCAGTAGTAAACTGTAACATTTTAGGACCAAACATTTATGTTTAAACTGTGGAAAACTGAATATTTCACTGGTGATTTGTGTTCAAGATTATTTGGGCTTTAATAACATTTATAATTCAGTTTGGGTCAGAAGTTTCAAATGGGTATAAATGTTTAGGCATTTTATATGAGTTAAGTTTGTCATATTTTGAAACCACAGAAGAGGGTAAGCATTGAAAAAGTCTAAACTTAGCACCTGCATCATAATTATGATAACTGACCTGTGTCACATTCATGTCCTTCATTTTATTCATTCTTTATTAATTAGGTTATCTTCTATGTGTTGGGCCCTCTACTAATTACTGCTATTTATTGGCCAAAACACTGGGTATGTTCTTGTGAGAGAAACTTGGTAGATGCTAGCCTTTCTTGCTGAAATGGAAAGGGAATAGAAATGGAACAAATTTAATGATGAATGAAAATGTTTAATTTTAGATATGCTATTTTTGTGATACAAGTGGAACATGTGAGCAGAAATACTGAACATGCAGTTGGAGCTAAATGAGTCTAGAGTTCAGAGGAGAAAGCTTTGAATGAGAGCTCATATCTTGGCAGTTATGCACCTGGAATTACTATGTTCTTAGTTTTGTAGTCATGTGAGGAAGTCCTACAAATGTGTGGCCATTTCACAGATGCTAAAATTAACTTTTAGGAGATTAAGAAACTTGTACAAACTCACACAATTCACAAGATGACAGAATCTAACCTTAGGTGTCTCTTTCTATACTATTTCTATCTTTACTATTTCCATGAAAACCCTAAACAAAGGGCTTAGCTTTGTAGCTGAAAACACTGGATGGGCCTAAGAGTTGAGTAGATTCTGAAAATTTTGAGATATCTGATGTGAGTTATTCTAATTTACCTTTGTTATTACTGGTCTTCTGGTCCACATTGAGAAAAGTTTGGATAAGCATTTGACCTGCCTCGTGACGTTTCTGTCTCACAGCATCCACGAAAACCCTGGGCTTGTCTCCACGTTCAGCGTTGTTAAATCTTTTCTTTTCTTCTTCATCTAATTTCACCACATTGTTCTTTACCAAATTATCCACAAAACCAGTGATAATTTCTTTTCCCATGTATTCCAATATCTTAAGTGGGTTTTTCTGGAGGTCGTTTTCTGGCAGAAATAGAAAAAAAAAATCATTCAACTATATGCGCAACTAAAGATTTTTGCCCTCATTTTAGACACAGACCGTACTATGTAAAATATCCATGAAAATTCATTCTATTTGACTATCTTCTTAACAAATGACTCACCTCATCAATCGTATGTATAGAGTTCTCTCACCTCCTCAAATTCATACATATGTTTAATGATTCATTTCCACCTAGGTTTTTTATTTCAGTTGAAAGCTGCTTAACTCCCTGCCATATTAGGCTGAATGCCAGCTTCCTGTTCATTCACTGTTTCCATATTTCTTGTTCTCTTGCACATAGCCCAGGACATGCTCTCAGTAACGTACGTGCTCTGTCCAGATGGGGAAGTCCTCCCACTAGACGATTGGATCTTTGCTCCCTTTCATGTTTAATCTCTAGGTAAAGCAACATGTGTTTGAATCCTTACCATGTTATACATGCCTTTTACTCACATCTCTGCACTCAAAATGCTTTCAAGCATTTAATATGCTTACTGAATGTATGAATTAGTGAATAAATGAATGGATATATGTAGAGTCCCAATTCTTTAAGAACTTGTACTCAAAATTCAAAATTGAAAGTAATCTCACAATTAATCTTCCAGTTTGGTAAACTAATTTGGCATTAGGTTAATGTATTACTTACTCCTTAAGATAATTTAGATTTTTATAAGGGAATGGAATATAGATACTAAAGGAATGAATCATTTATTTTAGTACTACACATATGATTTGGGCAGATAGTATGTAAGTGTATCTCATTGATTCTCAACTAACTTTATATAGATAGTAACCTAGTCCTACACGTAGGGGTAGCTTTGATACAAAATGGTATTACCTAAAAAAACTGTGCTTGACCATTGAACAAGAGTTTGGCCCAGAAACAACAGCCTCATTGCCCATGTTTACTTCACGAAGATCTAATGTAATAAAGATTCCATCCATGAGAAGAAGGAACAGGCATATTTTTCCTATTCTGTTACATAAGTCAACCAAGACATTCTCTGGTTTTATTTTATTTAAATGAGACAAGTAATACTATTCTGTATAATGTTTATTTTTTACATTTTATATTTTTCTGCTCATGTTACCTTGAATCATTCTTTTAACCAATATTCATTGAGCAATTATCATGAGAAAGACACATGGGAGTTACTAGGCACAACAAAAGTTACATACTATCAATTAATTTAATAAACGGTAGCATCCCTTGTGCACTCATTATGACTAAAAATACATAGAAAGTAATGTAAATCATTACTCATTATTACTATGTCTCTAAGTTCTTTAAAATATTAATCTACCAGGCCCCCTCAATAAGCCAGTGTGATCATTTTCTCTACTTTTAATAATACAATAAAATAAATATATTCAAAACAACTTTCCCCAAATTACAGAAATTAGGATTCAAGTACTGTTCTTATACCATATTCCCTACAGTTATCCATGACACAGCCACAGAAACAATAATTAATGCTTAGGGAGCCCCAGTGTGCTGAGTGTTTTACATGAATCTTCCCACTGAGGTCCTATACACATTTTCGGTGAAAGGAACATTGGTATCATTCACATCTCATACATGGAGAACTAAGTTAAGAAATTATCCAGGTCGTGAGAAAAGAATGTAGGGGAACAGGAAATAAAACTCGGGTTCAGAATCTAGTGACCCACTTTTCTCATTTTGGTAGTATTGGAGTTTGAAATCAGGGACTTTCACTTGTTAAGCAGATGCTCTACCACCTGACCAACACCCCCAGCCATTTTTGCTTTGGTTAGTTTGAAAAAAAAATTTTAATGTTGGGCTTTGATGGGTGTACATTGTGCCATTTACAAATGTTCTTACAATATATCATTCATGAATTCACCTCTTCCATCATTCTCCTTTATACCCCCCTCCCCCCATTTCTGGAATAGTTTCAACAGGTGTCATTTTTCCATTTACACACACGTGTGCACAGTATTTAAACATGGGTGTGGCAGGGTCTTTCATTTATGCCTGGGCTGGCCTAAACTACCATCCTTTTATTTACGCTTCCTGCACAGCTAGAAAAACAGGTCTGCACAACATGCTTGGCTCTTTTATTGTTTGAGAGGGAGCCCACGAGTGTTTTACTGAGGTTGGTCTCACAGCAAGATTTTCCTAATCTCCACCTCCTGAGGTGCTAGGATTACAGGCCTGGGGACATCACTCTTAAATCATCAAGTAATATGACATGACAGTTGTTGAAGAGCTACTTAAAAACATGCAAGATGCTTCAGGAATTCCAAAAGAGGGGCACATTCTGTCAGGTGAGGACATCAAGGCTTCATGGAAGAGGGGACAGAAACACTGAACTTCAAATACATGTACAGATGTTGGAATCAATACTCTGAAGTGTTACAAATGGTACAGAGGTTAGTGCTTGAAATATCCAGTTTACCTGACTTCTGGTCTTCTGTTTTATTTATCTGTGCATTCAACACATAATAGAATGATGATTGAACGAATGACATCTGAAGTAATGTGGTAAACAATAAAATAATAAAGTTTATACTAAAGGCCATATATAACTCATAGTTAGCACCATATTCAATGGTCAAAACTTGAAAACTTTTCTCTACCATCAGAAACAAGGCAAACATTCTTACTTGCACTACTTTTATTCATTATAGTACTGGTTCATCTTAGCCAGAGAAATTAGGCAAGGGAAAGAAAGAAACACCTTCCAATTAGGAAAAGAATACGTCAAATCATCATTGTTTATAGACCACATGATTTTATATATAGAAAACCCTAAAGACTCCACCAAGCAGCTTTTAGAATGGGTAAGTGAATTCAGTAAAGTTGTAGCATACAAAAATTAGTAACTTTTTTATCCAAGAACAATAAAGTATCTAACAAAGACATCAAGAAAGGAATCCTATTTAACACAGCTACAAAAAGTGAAATACTTAGGAATAAATTTATTCAAGGGAGTGAAAGACATATACACTGAAAACTAAAACTCTGATGAAAGAAATACAGTGTGTAAGTGGAATATCTTGCTTGTGGAATGGAAAAATTAATATAATTAAAATATCCAATAATGCCTAAGCAATCTACAGAGCAATAAAATCACTGCAAAAATTCAAATGACATTTTTATAGAAACAGAAAATCATCTAGCTGGGTGCAGGTGGCTCACACCTGTAATCCTAGCTACTCAGGAGTCAGGAATGCACTTAGAAGCCAGCACCGGGCTAATAGTTCATGAGACCCATTCATGAAAAACCTGTCACAACGAAAGGGATGGTGGAGTGGCTTAAGGTGTAAGCCCTGAGTTCAAACCCCAGTACTGCAAAAAAAAAAAAAAAAAAAAAAGAAAGAAAGAAATAGAAAAAGAAAAGAAAAGAATCTACAAATTCATACCAAATGACCTAAAAATCCCAAAGCAATTTTGGGTAAAGAGAATAAACATGCAGGCAACATATTTGTGACTTCAAAATATGCTACAAAGCTAAAGTAATGAAAACTGCATGGACCTGAAATGAAAACAGGCTCTTGTGCAATGGAACATAGAGACAGAAATAAAATGAAGTATTTACGGTCAACTGATTTTCAACAAAAGTGCCAAGAATATACAATCAGGAAAAGAGAGGTCCACAAAATGGCCCACAGGTATATGAAAAAATACTCAAAATCTCTAATCACCAGGGAAATGCAAATTGAAAACACAATGAGATATCAACTGTATCTATTCAGGTAGCAATTATCAAAAAAGACCAAATGCCAGAGAGGATGTGGAGAAAAGGGAACTTTGCACACTTTGATGGGAATGTAAATTGGTGCAGACACTATGGAAAATAAGGCTCCTTAAAAGTTAGGAATGATCCAACACTTACAGGATGCTTAACAGCAAGCTGAGTAAGCTTGATTTGTTTAACAGAAAATGAGATCACATTCAAAGCTTTCAAGTAGAGAGACAATAAACTCATTGTTCCATTCATGCAAAGATATTTAATAAACATTGTTTATACGTGATAATCTGTTAGTGTTGGAGAAGCCATTTTGGAAATAGATTTCCAGATAGTAAGGCTTATAGGCAAATGAGAGATGGGTATGTAAACAAGCAAAATAGCAAACCTTAGAATAATTTAAGTAATTGGTACACATACACACACAAAAAAAAGTTGTTAAAGTATTCCTTAGATGGAAACAGGTTAGTGGGGGGCGGAGAAAGGATTTGAATCTAAGATCCAAAAGGTCTGTGGGAGTCTATCCCATGAATTAGCTGGGAATTAGTCTTGGCAGGGAACATTGTGGGCAGAAAAACAAAGGCTTGAGAGTGTCTGATGAAATCGGAAGCTGGGAGAGCTGGGCTTTTGAAAGAATTCCAGTGTAAGCAACAACAGGCAAGACAAACTGAATTGGTAATAATCAGATGCAACAGTTATTTGAGGATTTACACATAAAATAATGTCAGGGTCCTGAGTTTGAGAGTCAGGCCAACCTGGAATCACCCTGCTCAATACATGGTTAGACCTAAGTCAAATTCCATATCGCCTCTAAGTATCTTCTTTAAGTTATAAAGTGGCAATAAAAACACAAATGTAATTACATAATTTCAAATATTCAATCAGAGAGAGCATGTGAAATAGCTGTCGTACGGAAAGAAGGTGTTCAAAAAAAACCAATTATTTGGGTTATTGTTATTTTAGTGATGATAGAATTGGGACTGCAGTGATAAGAAAAACAGAAGGAATAATTTAGAAGATGGAACTTATCAAAACCACAGTTTTGGTACCAGGAAAATCTAACAGATTATAGGATAGTATTCCTTAGGAACTTTAATTAATAATGGACAAAAATCTAGGTTGTTTATATTTACAATGTGACTTTACTTGGTTTTTTCTAATACCTTTTAATTTCTCACATCTATCGTTTAATGATCACCTAATTCTAATCAAGTAATCAATGCCGTTGACCTGCCTGGCTCAGAGACAGCCATGTATATGAATTTAACTCAGTTCTTCACAGATAAATGACTTCTTAGAGCCATGAAGAAAACAAGAATATAAAACAATCCATTCCGGTATTTTAGAAGCTTATATTACGTGTGAGTTGATGTATAAAGCCTGGGAAGAATTTTACTGCAGAGAAAATCAAAGAAGTGAAAGAGCACAGGACCAAGCAAGCATGAGTGGCATGAATGCAGGAAACACAGCTTATTTGTTTATGAAGCTGAAATTGTGTTTTAGAGGGATTGCTGAAAAAATAGATATATTTTGAAAGGTAAGAAAAGTTGTTTGAAAATTTCATATATGTTTTCCAATGTCAATAAGTAGCCATTGTGTGTTCCCAAATAAGAAAATTGCATTAATAGATACCTACAATGTGGGAACTAAGAATAAATAACTGAACATCTTTTTTAGGAAAGATGTTTCCCAAAAATGCAAATCTGTAAAAAAAAAACAAAAAAAAAAACCTATGCCAGGCCAGCTCTACAAGAATCATCTTAAGGATCTTTAAATGATCACATATTGCCCAGAGTCTATTTAAGATTGAGCTAATCAGAGTGAGGGAAAGGGCAGTAATTTGAACTTTTTAAATGAATACTGTTTATTTAGTTATGTCACAAAGTTTAGAAACTACTGATCTAGTCCAACATCTTTACTTTATTTCAAAATAAGGAGTACAAAGCCAAAGAAATGCTATGACAAGTTTAAATGCTAGCTGCCTAATGATTTCCTGCTTTATGATCTTTCAGTTCTTGTATATAAGGGATGGATGAGTGGATTAAGTTCTGATAAGAGAAACAGTACTTAAAAAACTGTGATGGAAGTGAAAGAAATACTGGACCCAGAGTTGTTCATACCAGGACTAGAGAAAGAGTGAAGAAAATGGAGTCACTTTCATCAGAGCAAGAGGAGAATTCAATAAAAGAGGCGGAAGGAGGTTGAATCTCAAAAGCTCTTTGTTCTGTTCCTGGAAGCAGGATGACTAATTTCAAATCGAAAACAAACAGAAAGAGTTCAAAGTATATTTAGAAGCTTCCAGAGTTGTCCCACACACATTACACTGTCTTTAGCATACCATTTAAACTGAAAGAGATTACCTTCTTTCTGGCTCAAAGATAACCTCTATACCATAGTCTCTTTCAGTGTCTCTAAGCTACACCCCATGATTCCAGTTTCACGTAAGTAAGAAGGGGAAGAATTCAGCTTGTACTGCTTTCCTCTTGTTTCTGTCTGCTACGGAGTACTGAACAGATTGTTTTCTAAGCCCCAAGTCCTAGTCCCTATTCAGAAAGTGACTCCCCAACTCACCAGCCATGGAGAACAGCCTCAGGCACTTTCCTCAGCAGTGGAAAGAGACTCATGCTGGAAAATGATAGCAACCACAAGCAGGCATTTCCTCAGAGCAGTGGGTGGGACTTTCAGATTGTGCAACTACCGCTCAGAATGTCTAACTTCTTTGTGGGGAAGTTCCCGATAGTCCTAAAATTGACCTCTCAGTCCTGAAATCCAGTTTCCTGGATTTGAGTTAGTCTCAATATCTAGTTTTTTCCTTTGTGAAGTTAAAGAACAAAATGAAACAGAACAAGTGAAAAAAAAATGTAGATAACAAAGCATTATCCTGAATGCTTGCTGGCGCCTTTACTGGTTTTTCTCCTTTTTATTTTCTTTAAGGCCCCACTCCTCCTCTACATCATTGTCATTTCTCTCAGTATTTTCATCTCTGCTCATTAAAAGCATAAATCATGAAGGAGTTAAACCTAATTAATCTCATTTTCAGAGAAGAATTAACCAAGTAGTTTCTGTTTCCCATTTAAATCTGTTGATTATGGTGGCTTCTTCCCCTCTCGGGGTCTCCATGGAATCTTAATCTTTCACTGGAGAGAGTTCCAAAGGAACCCTTTTATTCTCTCCCCTGAATGTTTTTAACTGCCTAAGACTGCTTTAACATTTACTTTTTTACTGAAGATGACTGTTTGCCTCTGCTTTTGATTTCTCTGAACAAAATCTGCAGTCTGAGGTTATAGTAGAATGAATACATGATTGTACAAAAGAAATTGGCCAGAAGAACAGTTAATGAAAAGGGGCAGGGGAAAAAGGGGCAAAGGAGGAGAGAGAAATAGAGAGAGAGAGAGAGGTTATGATGTGTTCAACTGTTCAACACTGAAAGTTCTCAAAAGATCAGAAATTCACCTTTACTTTAAGTGGTTTAAGATTAAGAAGGCTACATTCTTCCAAATGAAGTATAGCCCTTCAGCTTTCCTAAACTAACATTGCTGAGTTAATGATTTATCCCAGATTCATTTTCGCTGCACCACAAAAGGAAATCGCACCTAGTATCAATTTGCAGAGTGTCATAATTGCCTATTTTTTTCATTTTGGTGAATGATTTATCTTTTTAGTGAGACTGTAAGCTGTTACTGACCTTGTGTTGAGGCAGCATCTACTCCGTATCTATGAAATACCTTAACAGAGTGAAGAAATATGTAGATATTTTTCAGTCGTCAGTGGTCAACTCTGAATTTAGGGATAGGTCACTTACCACATAACACTCTCACTGTCATAACTGTTTAACAGATATTTATATGTCTCCTGTTGTGTTCTAAATTCTTCTAACTCAGTACCTGCTATGAATCTACCCACTTTGCATCTGTATCCCTAAAGATGAAGATCCAGCAAATGTTATCTTAACAGAAAGGATGGTACTGTTAGCTATTGAGTTCAGCTCCTATGAGTGAAGTCAAAATATGCCAAATCTGTTACCTACTCTAAGTTCCAGCTCCTGTCTTCCAAGCATGATAAAACAAAACAAAATGAAAGAATAAACAAACAAAAACCCACAACATTTCATTTTTATTTCGCATTTATTAGGTCAATCCAAAGAAATGTTTGCTTCCAATAGACGTGTTTCCAAAAACAGGTACAGAATGACAGAATTTCTGGCTTCCTACAAGAAAAGTAAATATCACAGACATAAGAATGATTTCAGCTAAAAGATATGCAAGAAATTAAGCCACTCTAACCAATGGGTACATACACACTCACTAAAAAGATATGTTCTTAAGGGTATGTTTAAATATTGCCTAAATATTGAGATAAAAAGGAGGCACATCCAAAATTGAGATTTCATAGTCTATGACTACTTCTTGATCTACAGCAAACAATCCTGAGAAAGAGCATCTAACTCTACAGTATTTTAGGAGAATAGCATCACTCCCTTACACACACACACACACACACACACACATACACACACACACCCCTGCACACACATACACATACCCGCACACAGTCGATGATACAACTTACTGACTTTAATGTCCTGGGAAGAGGTAGAAACATTTTGTCAAAGTCACCCGTTCAGTGGTGGGCATCTGTGCCCTACCATCAGGTAGTTCAAATGAAAATCGAACCTAAAAGAGATAGAAAAAGACTGTAGACCTTTCCTTTGAGTGGAAATCTGGACTTAAGCTGGAAAAAGTACAATGAATCTAATAAAAATAAATCATAAATATTGTAAGTATTTGTATATCTAATAGTCATTCTTTAAGCACAGAATAGCCTCCCAGACTTTTATATTCTGTTGCTGGCTCTTAGAGCTATGATAGCCATGGGCAAATTGGAGCCTATTTGTTTGTCTACTTGGGGAAGGATAGGAATTAATGATTGCCTTCAAGGGTTACAGATTATAAGAGATTTGGTCTGGCTTCTGAGTTTGCTGACTCACCAAAGAATATCAAAATTCCTTTGAAAAGAATGACGTTACTGGAAGATGAACACGTCCACACCTGCCTGCTAAGATTCTTGCTGGAATAGTCAAAATTCAGGAAAGTACATTTGAAAAAAGCATCTAGAGCCCTACCTTTCGGAAAATTGCCTCTAGGTCATAGGACCAGGCATACTCTTGCATGTTTTCGATGAGTTTTATAATAAAAAGAGAGCCCCGAACAGGATGTCGCCAAGAAACATTATCTGTAAATAAAGCACATTTCAAATCTTATAACAGGCTTTTTCCTGGATGCAGAGAGGTAACTCTACTGTTTCTACTTCACCTTGGACAAGTTATTGAGTTCATTCTGCTTTTTATATGCTGTCTGCCATTTTGAAATATATTCAAAGTTTAGTGAGTATTTTTTACTGATATGGAAGAAGGTGCTGTATGCAAAGCAGTTATTAGTGTGGCATAGTTACTAATGTCAAGGAGTTGGAAATTTAGTAGAAAGGAAGGAAAGAGGAAGGAAAGGCAGAATGGGGTATAGGGGAGATGAGGCCTTAGAGAAGAAATGTCTGAGAGTGCATTTTGAGGATGCTATTTAATGACTCTGACTTTGAAATTCAATGACCTTAACTAGAAAGAAGAAGGTAGACAATGTTTGCCATGAGGAGATATTTGAGGAATAGACGTAATACACTACAAGTATTTGAGATAATGTAGGATATATATAATAGGAAATGGCTAACTTAGAATGAAAATTGTACCAACAGAATGAGTGTACAAACCTGAAAAGAGTTAGAAAGAGAAATAGCACATCCTTTTGGAAGACAAAAAGTTCTTTTGGAGAAGAAAATTGTTAAAGAAGAACAATGTTAATTATGTATCCTAGTACATGCACAGAAGTAATTAAAATTACAAATGAATCTAGAGGAAAAGCAATAGCAGTAGTTATTATAGCCACATTGTTTAGCCAAATCTTTTAGCAATGATAATGGCAGTGAAAAACTCATTAATAGTTGAAATTCCGTTTAAAAGCACAGCTTACTTATGAGACTTGCTTTACCTAATGGAAATGTATAGAGAGAGTAGAAGTAGATATCTCTGCAACTTCTTTATAAAACTAAGGGATCAAATGGTCAGTTTGTTTCAGAAAAGCACTGCTATGTAGTTGGGATTTATACAAGGGACCATGCAGTTAGGTTTACTGGTGGGAGTATAAGATAACTGGAATCTATAAAAGCTATCCAGAAAGGAGGAGTGAGGAAAGAAAATGAAAAGGAGTCAGACATATGCAAGACAGATGTTGAGAAGCCAGGAGCCTTGAAGGACTGGATAGCCAGAGGTCACTGTGTTGTAGAGGGCTGGGATCAAAAGACTTAAAAGAATCATTATGTCTAATATTAAAGTTTGCCATGTATTTAAGCTAGAAATGATCAAGGAAGAAAAATTTATTGAGGTATACCTCAGAGCACAGCTAACACAATACAGAACTAGGTTGTCTCTGGAGGGATGGCATATCAATATAGAAAATAATCTTAAACTAAACTTTCTGAACAAAGGTAGAACCATAGAGGTGAATAAGGGACTACAAGCTTCAGGAAATTGCAAAACTCAGTAGATGAAAGGATTCTAGTGACTTTTATTTAAACTTTAGTGTGAAAAGTAATGAGTTAAATTACAAAATAAAAAGATCATTTTTGGTCACTTTATATGCATTTTACTCTGTGCTGTGTTCACCACGTCATCTTATTTCATTCTCAGAATAATGGCACTGTATTTGTGTATATTAGTGAGGAATTCAAAGAAAGAGAGACTAAGTAACTAAATCTAGTTTACAAAGTACTAGATGAAAAGGTCAGGGTACAATCTCAGTATCATTACTCCATAGCTTCTGTTTGGAATCAATAAGATATTTTCTTTAATACGTATAATTCTACTTAAAATTCACTTTAATGTAAGTCCTCAATATACTTTGTCTGACTTTTCGTCTTCACATTCACCCCTCAATATTCTTCTATAAATAACTACATAAACTCTAGGAAATCTGGACTGCTGAATGATTCCAAGACTGTTCTTTTCAGTGTAAAGTCCAATTCTAATTTTCTTCAGTATGGATTCTATTCTATTTAATTCTCTGCTATCTCTCATAGCTTCAGGAAAAATAGTTTGCACCATGGATAAGCTTACTAATTGACAATTCTGAGAAAATATAAATATATTTTGTCTCTGTATATGAGGGAATTGAGTGTGTTACTGAGATCGTTGAATTAGTCTTTAAAAGTCTCACCTACAGTTAGAGATAAGCACATTCTAACACCTAGGTGTCAATTTCTCTATCAGTAACCCCGACAAAGGTGTCCTATATGGAAACCCATTACCTGGTGTTGAAGAGCAGAAAGCAATAAAATCCTTCTCCACATGGGCTTTCTTAATGCCATCATCCTCAAAATCTTCTGGATCAGGTAATATTTTTTTTCCAGAGTCTCCTTCTGAGTCTTTTAACCACACAACTCCTTGATTCTCTGGAAGACACAATTTGATATCCTGTTCCCACCAATTTCCAAGAGAACTACTTGCTAGCTTCCAAAAACCTCTATTCAGTCATATTTTTTAATGAATTGATGTCTGTCTTTCTTTCATATGCACATATACATACACAGATCTCAAGAAGCATCATTTCAACGATTCTTATGTCTACTAACCCTGAAATAAACTCTTATAGTACCCAACTCAAGAGTCTCAAGATTGGAAATGTATGTCTTTTGTTGAAAGTGGAACAAATTCTACCAAACAGAAATAGAATTCATATTCTATTGGGTAGTGAAAATAAGTGTTCTTTGATAATTAGGAACAGATATGAAGACACTGAAAAATATCATTGTGTGCAGATGATAAAGCCAGTATTTGATTGGTTTGTACTCTAAGAAACCAGCTCTCACCTCCACGGCAGGCCTGGATGATGATGACCTTGGGTTTGTCCTTCAAATTCGGACAGTTCCCAGTATTCAACATTTGAAAGATGGTGTTGACTTGTAAAATATCGGGGACTTGTTCAGAATGTCTCTTCCCACAAATTCCATCCCGGATTCCATGAGACATGAAAACCAGGAAAGTACTGTCAGAGCTCTTGTGCTCTGGGCGGGCAGCAAATGCCTTCACCTCTGTAGCCATGTCCTGAAAGGAACCATACCACTGATTTTGGACTGTGTGGTTCACTATCATCATACCTTCTTAATCCAATAAGGAGACATTTAAGCAATTCTTTGAATAAGTCCATTAAAATCAATGAAGTGGAAAAGGAAATTTAAGTCTTACTTCTATGAAAAGCGAAGAGAGTAAAGATCATAGGAAATCATCCCAAGAGTTCCAGTTGAGAGAAGGGGGCATTGTTGAATTAATGGAACACTAACCAATTACAAATTATATGAGAATCTTGCTAAAAGACTTGCATTTGAACGGAATATAGAACATTAAGCACCCTCCAGGGGAAAATTTTGATTATAGACTATCAAGAAATGAAGTTTTTTGATACTATAAACCCTCTATGTAAAGTTATTCAGGCATATGAAGGACATAACCATTGTGTCTATAGTTTGAAACACTTACCGAAGCAGTGAGATTTTTTTTCACATCTACTCTGTATCCAAGACCCTTTAGCAGCATCTCCATGCCTTCAATGTCAACATCCGCTCCTACCCTCCTGGAAAGACTATCAAATTCTATGTTGCAGATAATTAAGGCAAGACGTGTGCGATTTGACTTATTCATTATTGGATAAATCTGTAGGGAAGACAGGTTGAACAGTCTTGTTCTCTTTAATACAATGTTAATTTTTCTTAATTAATTAATTTTTTTATTGTTTTATTATTCATATGTGCATAAAAGGCTTGGGTCATTTCTCCTCCCTGCCCCCACCCCCTCCCTTACCACCCACTCCGCCCTCTCCCTCTCCCCCCCACCCCCTCAATACCCAGGCAGAAACTATTTTGCCCTTATCTCTAATTTTGTTGTAGAGAGAGTATAAGCAATAATAGGAAGGAACAAGGGTTTTTGCTGGTTGAGATAAGGATAGCTATACAGGGTATTGACTCACATTGATTTCCTGTGCATGTGTGTTACCTTCTAGGTTAATTCTTTTTGATCTAACCTTTACTCTAGTTCGTGGTCCCCTTCTCCTATTGGCCTCAGTTGCTTTTAAGGTATCTGCTTTAGTTACTCTGCGTTAAGGGCAACAAATGCTAGTTAATTTTTTAGGTGTCTTACCTATCCTCACTCCTCCCTTGTGTGCTTTTGCTTTTATCATGTGCTCAAAGTCCAACCCATTGTTGTGTTTGCCCTTGATCTAATGTCCACATACAGCTTTCCCTTCCTCCATGCTATCAAGGAATCTAAATCACATGAAGTATAGATTAAGAACAGGAAAAGTAACTGAGTTTTAACTCAAGAATAAGAGTGGAGTTTGACAAAGCCTACATAGAAACTTAGCATCTGCCTTTAATTTTTACAGGACAGGTAAGATTTTGAAAAACTATACAGGATTTAAAGCCAAGATTCCTTAATTTTCAAACTGACTCTTATACTTTCTGATTGCCTTACTCTGGAAAAAATATTTAACAATTACTGAACCAGTAGTTTGAACTCTAAAGAGGTAATTTTGAGAGTTAAAGGCATTGCAAGATGTTTAGTGTAATATATGACTCATAGTAAGAATACAATACCAGCTGCTGTTTTGTTGTTATTACTATTAGTTTTTACTCAGGTGACAGAACCAAACTCAGAACACTCTTTATATGCCTGGGATTCTAGGAGCTAGGAATCCTTTATGTAAAGGGAATAGCCCAGTGATTCACACAATATCTCAGAAAAGTGCATCTTTAGCCTCCTTCATTCATGTGTTCTGAGCACTGCACCTCTGCTGCTTTTTCTTTCCATATCCTTTGGGCTATTTCTGGGGGGCAAGTCTTAAGTGTTCTTCCTGGGCCACAGGATATGAGCATGGCATTATCGACACACACTTCCTGAGGAGCTGCAAGAGAAAAGGAACACTATAAATAATTATATCCCTGGTGTTCCCAGTTGTGTCCCTTACACTCACATCTATATGTGAAGCCACACATGAGGGAGTTCAGGCTAGAAGGAAGACCGTGTGTGAGCTACCAGCACTGTTGAGTGAATTCACTGATAATGCAACAGGTTTCCAGTGGTGTGATACAGGGACCTACTTTCAACTCTTGGAATTGTTTAGGCAAATATTTTAGATAATCACAAAGGGAGGGAGACTCTCAGAAAATAATCAATATATTAGGAAAATATCTAAGATATAAATTTATTTCAAAAGAGTTAAAGCATAGGATAAAATTTCAGGGGGTAAGGCTTAATTAGCTCATTTAAGTATTTTATGAAAGGTATATGTTTACCTATTCATTTATTCAACAGTATTTTTAAAGAATCAATTTTTCTGTGCTCCAGGATCACTTTCTACTGAATATATGTGTAAGAAGGGATAATATTGAACACATGAAGTAAAATGAATATGAGATAGAATGATAAATGCTAAAAGAAGTGCACAGTTGATTCATCTCACTAAACATTGATTGTACAAATATATCAAAAGAGTTTTTTACAATGATTGATGTAAGAAAATCTCTGAGGCTTTGATTTGATAAGTTTAATACCATCCAACAACATGATGCACTTGCTAAAATAATGTAATCTTTGTGTATTTCAAAATACAAATACTTATCTAGTTATCTGGAGGATCTTTTGAAAATGAACTATTAAATTAAAATATTCTAATCAATTTTAAAGGGGAATTCAAAGGAACTGTTGTAAATTCAGTAAGGTGAAGCAAAGCATCATAAAATATGTTGATAGTGGCAAAAATAAAAAGCTAATTAGAAGTTTAAAATATATATAAATAATCATTAAGTAGAAGAAATGTGTTCTGTCTGCAAAAAAAGTCTACAACCATAGAAAAATTAAGTAGACATGTTCAAATTATACTATAGTCAGGGTTTTTTTAGTACTGGAAAAGGGCACCTGGTTATATAATTAGCATTCTATCCCATAAAGTAATCTACACATATAAGGTCATCATTATAATTGATTCAGTTGAGTAATTTTGAGCTTGGTGAAATATTTGCCTTCAAGACTTCTAAATTTATTCACAATGCAGTATCCTTTTACTTTAAGAGTGAGGAATGGCTTTTGATTAAATTATTTCAGAATTATAGATAAACAAGCTGTCCAGTACAAATAGAACTCTGGTGATTTGTTAAGAAAGGCAGGATTCATACAAAATTAAGATTTGCTAACAAGAAACCTGTTATGTTGACCATGTCAGGATCAATAAGGCTGATCTTTTTTGAGGAAGAACACAGGAAACATCTGCAATGCCAGCTTAGAGGAAGCCCATGTTCCTGTGAAGTGGCTTTGAGAAGTGCAGCAGAGACCAGTGCCTGGGGGTGCACAGTGCTAGTGGACAGTCCTACTCAAAAGATAATGCAATGGTGTCTCGGGAAGAAATAATCCACTTAAAATCCCTGTTTTCCTATTATAAGTAACTTATTCTGTGAGGTTCTACCATCACTCAAACATGTATTATTCTTCCTGGAAAGCAAAATTTTAGAGAAAATTCAGAGAAACTGTTTGATCATAGAGTTCACTTAGCCATATCAGTCAAGTACATAAGTGCCTAGAGATCTTTGCACTTAACAAAATTAAGTATGGTGATGATAATAATAATGATGATGATATAATGTGCTATCCCTCAAAGAATGGAGCATATAGTTTTAAGATTTTAAGTCTATTCTCATAAACTTCAGCATATGAGCAGCCACACACTCAAGACAGGAAGTGAGCTTTAATCAGAAGACGATCCCTGACAAAGAAGAAAGAGGAACAGGAAGAGTCAGGGGATATGCTACAGAAGGGTCCCTGACACAGAACAGGGGCCCTGAACTCAGAGGTCAGGAAGATGTCTGCAAACTGGACTGACTAATAAACAAATCAGACGTTGGGTACAAAACACATGGACTCAGTGAAATTTATCCTGAGTCACAGACCCTTACCTGACAAGAGTCCCAATGTCTCTGCAAGGTATCTGTCATCTTCACAAATGAAAGTGATGCAAATTTGGCATGCCTGGGGCCCTTTCCGAATGATGGAGTCAAGCAAAGCTCGTGCCTGGTCCATCGCTGTGGCATTTTCAAGTTTTACTTTCTCCATCTCTTCCTGGTTCAGCACTCTTTTCTCTAATAATTCATCCAGCAAACCATTTATTGTACCTGTGCCCGCTGAACGGATAAACTGCTTCCTTTTGTCTTTCAGGATCTTGTCTGTTTGGAGCACAAAGACGTATCAAGTCATGGAAACAGCGTCATTTTCCTCTCAAGGAAGCAATTGATTAGTGAAATGCCTCTCTTCACATACTTTACTAATCCCTTCTTTTATTTTATCACCACAGTTTCCCTTCAATATCACTCATATTTGTACCTGGAGAAGACTGAAGGTTACTACCCCTCCTTCAGTATCTGAAAAACAGAAATCATTCCTTCTTGTCCCATATTTATTGATCTCTGAATAATGAAATACTAGTAACACACTTTCATAGGGAGCAACTCTATCTGGTGCTCATCTTGCTTTCCATTCTTTTCTCTCTGCCAGACTTAAAAGAATTAACTGATAAAACTGAAAAACGACAGCAGGTCCTTTTGTACTTCCTCTCCAGTCCTTTCCTTCAATTCCTGTGGCTTCAGTAATCTTCTGGGTCCCTTTCTTCCTCTCTGCACCTCCTTTTTGCCTCAGTTCTGCTCATCTAAACATTCACACAACCTAATCATAGCCTTCAGAAGAGCACACCACTTCCAGTCTTAGTTCTTCTCCTAGATTGCTCCTTCATATAGTGAAAAAAAAAAAAAAACCAAACTTACCAGCCATGGCTTTTCTCTCCTACCGTCAAGTGTGAATGAAACTGAAAGCTTGTTCTACCTTCCTTTCAGTAGGGTGTTACATATTGAGAAATCACCACTGTACATACATAATGCATGCTTTTGTTCCCCAAAGAAATACTTGGATTTATGAAATTTAGACTGAATGAAGGGCTGCAGCCTTGACAAATTCCTTTCACTAGCAATTAGAACAGCTAAGGGTAGATGGTTGTGGTTCTTCAAGAGTAAGAAATGAGTGAGAAAGTATGTATGCAATCGAACTCACAAAATAAATCTCCTCTCACTCATCAGGAAGTATGATCCAGAAAAGTTGAACTTGAAACTCCTCTTCCAGCTCTGAGGAAAGTTTCAACAGCTATATTTCCCTGTAAAGCAGTTTTGCTTTCACCAAAGTACGTAAGTGCCTAGAGATCTTTTGCACTTAACAAAAATAAATATGGTGATGATAATAAAAATGATGATGAAATAATGTGCTATCCCTCAAAGAATGGAGCATATAGTTTTAAGATTTTAAGTCTATTCTCATAAACTTCAGCATATGAGCAGCTACACACTCAAGACAGGAAATGAGCTTTAATCAGAAGACGATCCCTGACAAAGAAGAAAGAGGAACAGGAAGAGTGAGGGGGTATGCTACAGAAGGGTCCCTGACACAGAACAGGGGCCCTGAACTCAGAGGTCAGGAAGATGTCTGCAAACTGGACTGACTAATAAACAAATCAGACGTTGGGTACAAAACACATGGACTCAGTGAAATTTATCCTGAGTCACAGACCCTTACCTGACAAGAGTCCCAATGTCTCTGCAAGGTATCTGTCATCTTCACAAATGAAAGTGATGCAAATTTGGCATGCCTGGGGCCCTTTCCGAATGATGGAGTCAAGCAAAGCTCGTGCCTGGTCCATCGCTGTGGCATTTTCAAGTTTTACTTTCTCCATCTCTTCCTGGTTCAGCACTCTTTTCTCTAATAATTCATCCAGCAAACCATTTATTGTACCTGTGCCCGCTGAACGGATAAACTGCTTCCTTTTGTCTTTCAGGATCTTGTCTGTTTGGAGCACAAAGACGTATCAAGTCATGGAAACAGCGTCATTTTCCTCTCAAGGAAGCAATTGATTAGTGAAATGCCTCTCTTCACATACTTTACTAATCCCTTCTTTTATTTTATCACCACAGTTTCCCTTCAATATCACTTATTTGTACCTGGAGTGGCCTTAAGAGTGAGGGTTAACTCTTGGGGATATACCCAAAAGATTGTGACACAGGGTACTCCAGAGGCACCTGCACACCCATGTTTATTGCGGCACTATTCACAATAGCTAAGTTATGGAAACAGCCAAGATGCCCCAGCACTGATGAATGGATCAAGAAAATGTGGTATCTATACACAATGGAATTTTATGCAGCCATGAAGAAGAACGAAATGTTATCGTTGGCTGGTAAATGGACGGAATTGGAGAACATCATTCTGAGTGGAGTTAGCCTGGCCCAAAAGACCAAAAATCGTATGTTCTCCCTCATATGTGGACATTAGATCAAGGGCAAACACAACAATGGGAATGGACTTTCAGCACATGATAAAAGCGAGAGCACACATGGGAGGGGTGAGGATAGGTAAGACACCTAAAAAATTAGCTAGCATTTGTTGCCCTTAACGCAGAGAAACTAAAACAGATACCTTAAAAGCAACTGAGGCCAATAGGAGAAGGGGACCAGGAACTAGAGAAAAGGTTAGATCAAAAAGAATTAACCTAGAAGGTAACACACACACACAGGAAATCAGTGTGAGTCAATGCCCTGTATAGCTATCCTTATCTCAACCAACAAAAGCCTTTGTTCCTTCCTATTATTGCTTATACTCTCTCTTCAACAAAATTAGAGATAAGGGCAAAATAGTTTCTGCCTGGGTATTGAGGGGGTGGTGGGGGAGAGGGATAGGGCGGAGTGGGTGGTAAGGGAGGGGTTGGGGGCAGGGAGGAGAAATGACCCAAGCCTTGTATGCACATATGAATAATAAAAGAAAAAAAAACATGAAAAAAAAAGAGTGAGGGTTATTGTCCCTCTGTCAGTACCTGAAAAACAGAAATCATTCCTTCTTGTCCCATATTTATTGATCTCTGTATAATGAAATAATAGTAACACACTTTCATAGGGAGCAACTCTATCTGGTGCTCATCTTGCTTTCCATTCTTTTCTCTCTGCTAGACTTAAAAGATTTAACTGATAAAACTGAAAAATGACAGCAGGTCCTTTTGTACTTCCTCTCCAGTCCTTTCCTTCAATTCCTGTGGCTTCAGTAATCTTCTGGGTCCCTTTCTTCCTCTCTGCACCTCCTTTTTGCCTCAGTTCTGCTCATCTAAACATTCACACAACCTAATCATAGCCTTCAGAAGAGCACAGCACTTCCAGTCTTAGTTCTTCCCCACTATTTCTCTTTTAAATAGTGACAAAAATAAACTTACCAGCCATGGCTTTTCTCTCCTACTGTCAAGTGTGAATGAAACTGAAAGCTTGTTCTACCTTCCTTTCAGTGGGGTGTTACATATTGAGAAATCACCACTGTACATACATAATGCATGCTTTTTTTCCCCAAAGAAATACTTGGATTTATGAAGTTTAGACTGAATGAAGGGCTGCAGCCTTGACAAATTCCTTTCACTAGCAATGGGAACAGCTAAAGGTAGATGGTTGTGGTTCTTCGAGAGTAAGAAATGAGTGAGAATTTATGTATGCAATAGAAGTCACAAAATAAATCCCCTCTCACTCATCAGGAATTGTGACCCAGAAAAGTTGAACTTGAAACTACTCTTCCAGCTCTGAGGAGAGTTTCAACAGCTATATTTCCTGTGAAGCAGCTTTGCTTTCAGAAATGGAAACATTTTCTACTAAAATCATGTCTTTTATTATCTAATGCTCTTCCTTTAGAGGTGACTCTCTTCTGAAGGACACTGTATCATAGATACCGAAAGCTCATGCTCTGAACTCAGAATGTTGGACTTGGTGTTTTAACTCTTTCCTTCTTGTTAAGGGTAATAAATTTCCTGTGTTTCTCTCTGTGTAAAGTGATTATATTCTTAGTCATACCTACACAGTGTTGACCCTGAGTTATTGAAAATAAACAGACTGTATAGATTCTTTTCCTGGCATGTGTTAAGCACACATTATTTAACACTATGATTTTAATATAAAAACGTCCCATTAGAAAATACCATTGTCAGCAAGTACTATGTAATTACATTTACTTTTGTGAGAATCCTCATACATATCATGCATTCATTCATCCATCTAATAACTGTGTATAGAGGACATAATCCATCCTGAACAGTGCTGTACATTTAGTGGGTTCTGTCAAAACAGGCTCTGTTCTTCTGTCCTTATGTCCTCACATTCAGTAAGGGAAGATACACATGAAGCCCAGTATGTGACTAGGATATTCAGAGTGCTAGTGTGAGATTAGGTGTTCAGGAGATAAAATATGGTTGGAAAGTAAATGATGAAATATTAGTGACTCATTAACAATGTAGATAAACATGGGAAGACACAGAGAGGTCACCCTTTTTTTTGACGTTCTAGTGGGCTTTTATTAAGATAAATAAAAAAAACTCAAGATTTTACTATCCTTTTTGAACCTTCTAAACTCAGGAGAGACTCTTACCCATATATTTGTACAGACAATAGAACACATCCCAACAAAAGCAGAGCCCCACTGGAACATTTGCCAACTAAAAGAAAACCAATTCTTCCTTTCCCCAAAATGTTTTCAAAATTTTGAGTTCCCACTGCTCACTTCTCAGTGGAACTGGTTGGTCCCTTGTAGCTAGGGACATTACAATTTTCTCCCATTTTTACTGAACAAAAATTACAATTACCAAGTTTATTTCAAAAATAGGAAGTGATTTTGTTTTCTCCAGGCACCCCTCCCCCAACAGCCACTGGTCAAAATATAACAGCCTGTGTCATACAGACCCAGCTCAACCCCTCCCTTGCCCTGCCCACATTGTGCAGTTGAGAACTTAAATACCCAATAACAATTTTAAAAACACATAGAATGTTAAAAAATGTAGTGAGCTAAAATAACATTACTAATTTCCAGAACTTATTTTATCTTTTTGTTAATTATCTTCTAGAAGGTCAAGAGCATGTTAAAGACAGTTTCTGATGGGGTTATTAAGCATAGAAAAAAAATCCCATTGTATTCTTAAAATATGTATTTTGTTTAATCAAATTATGTTATAACAATGTTAAATTTTAAAAACTTAAATGATCAATTGCTATGATGATAAACTGTACCGGAGAGGATTGTGTTTCCTGTATTTCTGGACACACTCAACCTTCAACATACCCAGACAAAACTCTATCAAGAGGAAGAAATTTTTATAATAACCAAATTGGAATTATCTATCACACTAATTGGATGAGGGTTTGTAGACAGAAATATTATTTATAGAACTTAGTTTTTTACTAAGAAATGTACCTGAAAAATAGTACTATAAAGATAAAGTGAATTTATAATAAATGAAAATAGCAGTCCAATGAAGGGTAGTATTTCAAATGAATCATGATTTGAAGTCCTCCCTTGACATTGCCTGTGAAAGTCTGTCCAACAATATCATTTTTAATTAAAAGGATAGTTATCATGAACAGCTGTGACCTTGAAGGCAGAAGATCCTTGTTACTGGGTTCCATCTATGCTGTTTTCAGCCCTTACAAGCCACCCCTCAGTTTATGCATCTCATGTTATTCTTTATAGGTTTGAATTGTTTTTGAATTGCTAGAATAGTTTCATTAGTACAAGAGCACTGATCAACTATAACTTTTTTCCTGGGTCTATAACTTTCACTTTTCTATGCTCTATCCACATGGACCTTGGATTCTCATATTTGGAACAGACTATCATTTATTAGATGTAAACTTGGCAAGGTTCTTAGTGCCCCTAAGCCTCTGCTTTCTTATATTTCCCCCTAGCTTATACCCACCCCAGTCAGAACTTGTTTCACACTCCTATCCTTCATTTTAAAGTGTTTATTAATTGCTAAAGGTGTTTACACCATGTTATTTCACTAATACATGTATTATACTTTAATCAAATTAACCACCTGCCTTACTTTCTTTGCCTCTTGCCTCCACAGAAAGACAAAGGTCACATGCTTTCCCTTTTATGAGGAAACTATATTTAAAACATAAATGCATGCATAAATACATACATGATTATATATATGGCGTGTTTTTATAGTGGGAAACTTTGAGGGTCCTAAAGGGAAGCAGGAGAGGAAAAGAGAATGATAGTGAATAATAATGATCTTATAATCACACACATTCTAGAATAGATGATAGGTATACAGACCATGGCATGGCACAGATGGTCTCATCTGTAGGAGACCTGAGCCCAGAAACAAAGTAATAGCCAACCATTCTTCTTTGTAAAGTGCTTCCAAATTCTTCATGTGCTTTATTTCATGTACTGTCACAACATCTATGTAAGTTAGACTGGCTAAATGAGCATTAATTGCATGTTATAAATAAGAAGATCAGGTAAAGTATAAGTTACATGACTTTGCAGGCATATGTTACAGAAGTTGGGTGAGAAACTACTCTCCCTGTCCCCTATGCTTTTATGGAATGAGATAAAATATAAGCACAGAAAGCAATAATAATGACAATAAAAGATGGTATAAATGGAAGTGCTGTGCAAAATAAAAGGGAGTCAATTATATGCTTGAGCAAGCAAAGACCACAGTTCTAGGATGCAGTTCACACTTTGCGACTGCAAGAGGTATGGATTCTGGATGGGTAATGGGAGGAAAGAGAATAAATTTAATTTGTTGAAATATGTTTGTGTCTAGGAATTAAGAGAGGTCCTTTGACACCTTCAACAATGATGAGAAGAACTTATTAGTCTTCAAATTTTATATACCAGTAAGTTGAAGTTCATAGTTGATATCTCTTTTTTAATAGCAGAGTACATGAGTGCAAAGTGAACTTTGATTGCTTTATCATAAATTCTAATTTTTGTTTGTTTGCAAGTGTATATTAATTGTTCAAAGGTGTTTTGCTATGTTATTTCACACATACATATATTGCAAACTTTAATGAGATTAACTCCTGTATTATTCTCCAGTGTTTATAGAAATATGAGAACAGCACAATCCAGGGAGAATAATACGAATGTAAGCCAGAAGCCAGCATCAGAGGAGGTAGGGGAAAATAGAAAAAAATTATTTTGCTTGAGTAAAAGTGCTTTTTTAGGATCAGTGGAAAGTAAAGTTTGAGAGTCATACTGGGTCCTGAATATGATGACTTACGAGAGTCAGCCTCAGTGACAAATTTGACTGATGTGACAGATGGAAGGAAACCAATCCACTTCTTAAGTAAAAGTCCTGTTAACATGCTTCAAAAGCTGCTATTCTGTGTTAAATGTTTACTTACATATAGGCTCTAGAAAAGCATTCCATCTGGATTGTTTATGTTAACCAACATTTTCAAAAATATCAATGCTCAGAATGAGCCCAAATTATTTAATCAGAACCTTCAGTGACAGAACTGAGGATCACAGATACCTAAAAATAATCCTATGTATATTCCTCACTGAATATACTTACTTTATGCATATTCTTTACTGAATATCACTGGGAAGTGCCACGCTCTGATCTAAGAAATAACAAGGAGCTCCTGAGAGCCTCAGGTGCACAGCATCTAGAATGTTATTTGACTTGTTCCTTGATGCATTGGTGGTTCCAAAGAAACCAGGATCTGAGCTCTGAATGGGCAGTGTGTTGGGTTCAGAAAAAGGGGTGACAGGTTTCCACAGTGGAAATGACTGAAAGAAAGAACTGCAGAGTTGGTAAGTTGGGTTGGAGCAGCAAAAGCTACCTAGGAGGTAGCTAGGAGGGCCGTGGTCTCCTTTGTCAGGCATTTCTCCACTGAAAATATAGAAATGACCTATGGAAACTGCACAAGATGAAAGGGCTGACTCAGAATCACATGAGGCCAAATACTTGAGAAGATGGACATGATCTTGAATCTGGTGTGTTGCCTGGCTGCAGGAGCAGAGGCAGTCCTTCTCCAGTTTCAGCACACAGACCATCCACTCAAGATGTGAACCAAACTGACAGATGACATTTACAAACATACTAGGTAGCAAGCTGCTAGCAGGATCTATCAGCAGGAACAAGAATCTACAAATTTATATCCTTATGTATGTTATAGACATTGAATCAATCAAATACTTAGAATGGCAATGTACCAGGGATGAAAATAAAGGAAGCAGAAAGCAATTATTTTATAATAAGGAATAATCAGAGTGATGTTATAAAAATACAGCATGTATGCAGAAGAAATATGAATTATAGTTCATAATAGACATATTACAAGGCAGACACACAAATTTTGTGAATACAAAAGTCATCTGGAAGATATGCTCAAATAACTTAAATAGAGTGCAAGAATTAAGAGCTGCAAAACTTGAAATGGATTCTGAGGTACAAAAAATGGAATAA